AAGTGCTTTTACGAATGGCGGCCACACAGGGATAGCAATCAAGCAAACGTGTCAAGTTGTTAATTTGTGGCAAACAGCCAGGGGAGGTCGGTGTTCACTGGGGCATAACATGGGACCACACACCAGTCATTCGGGAGACAAACAAGGGGGTATGGACAACCGAACATAAGGGAATGGATTCTGCTACAGTAAGCATTCACATTAAGCCAATAACCTACATCCTGCATTGCCAGGCTCAGCTCAGTTAGAGAACTTCCAGTTGTCATAGAGCTGTAGAGAGATGTGCATGGCAGACTAGGTATTAAGACAGGAAAAAAACCAAAAAAAAAACCTGTTAAACTGGGGAAGGGGGAGCAATGCCAGGGGACTCCTTACCACAAAACCACTACAGCGTGGTTACAGTACGTGAGGTGTTCCTTTAAGCTACACGCATTGCCAAAAATTGCATTCTACACATGAAAAATTAGTCCCTTTAAAAAAAATAATAATAAAAAAAAAAAATGTATACCCAGTACCCCCATATCGTGCCACAAAAGCCAGCTGTCTTGTAAGTGCCTTCTCTGCATATTCAAATGAGCAGACCTTACAGGTGGCAAGGGGCTGGCGGAGTCCTCCGTGCTCTGGCTATAAAGCTCCTGTGCTGTTCTATAATGATGTTGGGAGATGAAATGTAGCATCACTTCAGTACAGTGCTGCAGGGAACTGTGCAATCAGTGCATAGACTGACCCCAGTAACGAACCTCTAGTCACCAGGGATAAAGGTCTACATAAAAAAAGAAAATGTGTGTGAGAATATATATGTGAGCATGCTTTTGTAATTTCCCCTAACAAAATAAATCTACATCTCTGGAGGGAGGAACTGTAAGGAAACAGAGGGTGAAATAAATGATTGAAAGGATCCAAAACATCTAGAGCACTTTAGCATGCTTTTATTGGTCCTGTTAGATCCTGGTAGGTGAGCTCAGTAGAGCTATACTCAAGATCACCAGATTTGCAAGAAATTCTCAGTAAACTGCATTGGAAAGTCTGAGATACATAAAATGGGGAGAGCTAGCATGGGCTTCAAGCTGTTTTAGATACACGACTAATTAAAGAATAAATTTAAAAAATTGGGGGTACATTTACTAAATAATTATTTTGTATTTGTGCAATGGATGGTCCCTTTAAAAATAATAACATGCAAAGTGATAGTGCTACTTTAATTACCTGTGTGGTAAATAAACAGCTTCATTCTGTCAAAGTAATTTTTTGTATTTTTGACTTCCCTGTTGGATTACATTTTACCATTAACAGATTGCTGCACTGACACAAAACATTGCTAAGTTTCCATGGTTGCCTTTACAATAGATGTAGATGAGCACAGATCTTCAAAAGATACATAGAAAAAAAAAAAAAAGCTTAGTTTGTGACCAGTTATATTACACTATTATGCTATAATGACAAACATGAAACCTTGTCAGGAAGTTTCTATATCTCTGAAGATTTTGTCAAGGTCCACACAGCAAGGTCCAGGAAGGTAAGTAAAACTAGTTTTACACTTTCATTATAGTTAGTGCATTCACTAAGCTTAGGATATGGGACATTTAGGGTTAATGTTAGGGTTCAAATTAGGGTTAGGATTAGGGACTTGTTCATATTTAGTGATATTTCACATTAGGGGAATATCACTAAATTGTGCTTCTCTCACACTTTATTTTAACCCTTACCCCAAGGGTTAGGGTAAGAATAGAGTGTGAGAGAGGTTAGAAGCACTTACCTAACCCTAATTTGTACCCTTGCTTAACCCTAAATGTCCCGTGTGCCTAAGCTTAGTGAATGCACTAACTATAATGAAAGTGTAAAACTAGTTTTACTTACTTTCCAGGACCTTGCTGTGGAGGAGTAGCAGGAGTGCTAGCACGCATGTGCAGCACAGGAGCCAGCTGATTCCCCTCACCAGAAGTGACGGGCGCCCCCATTGCCGGCCCTTCTAATGCTGCAGCCGCCTGAGCGCTCTATAGAGAGCCTCAGGCGGCTGCAGCACTGCCTCTCTCCTCACCTCCCCTGTAGTGTGGCCGAGCTCCTTTCCGGTCCGTGGTGCCCAGCCGGATTGACTGGAAGTGCACACTTCCTGTCAGTCCGGCCGGGTACAGGAAACAAAAGCTCCTGTACCGCGGACCGGAGAGGAGCTCGGCCAATCTAC